CACCAAACCCACAAACGCCTGTGCTGGGCCTCCCCGTCACAGCCAGGGTCTCCCGTCCGCCCGCTGTCTGGATCCCACCCCTCAGATTCTCAAGGACATTTCTCCCTTAGCCTCATCTCTCTCTCTCAGATCATTTCCTTCTATGCACAGATATGCTCTAGTATTTCTTGTCTTATAAATAACCCATCCTCGATCCTTAATCCCTCTAGTTCTGACCCCACTACTCCTCTTCATGGGCAAACTTCTAGAAAGCATAGCGCTGTGCAAGCCTCCATCCCAGTGTGGAGCCATTGGGGTCCCCGCAATAGGTTCAGTGGCCCACACCCGTCTCAGAGACTAAAAGGTGTGCCCCTCCCAGACAGCATCTTGCAAAGTGCCCCTGGGAAGCCTTGATTGTAGTCAGCAAATACTCAAGTATCTTTTTAGACTGTTCTGGTCATTTTGTTGACATATCTGAAATGTGACCACTCGTCCTTCCAGAACATTATTAGGAAGGCTGAAAGTTGCTTGAGAAAAATCATACATGCACTTGACTGGTTTCATTAATAGTGTCAAATGACAAATTGGTACTGAGCTGAGACTGGCATCCAACTAGGAAGCTGGTTTCACCATCCCAAAGGCAGTGATTTCACCTCTTCTCCTCTCTCTCCCTCTCTTCCCCTCCACTGCCTGACTTTGTACTCTGCTGAGAAGATAGAACCAGACACGAACACTCACCTTCCCACCACCAAACCCACAAACGCCTGTGCTGGGCCTCCCCGTCACAGCCAGGGTCTCCCGTCCGCCCGCTGTCTGGATCCCACCCCTCAGATTCTCAAGGACATTTCTCCCTTAGCCTCATCTCTCTCTCTCAGATCATTTCCTTCTATGCACAGATATGCTCTAGTATTTCTTGTCTTATAAATAACCCATCCTCGATCCTTAATCCCTCTAGTTCTGACCCCACTACTCCTCTTCATGGGCAAACTTCTAGAAAGCACTGTCAGCACACTGTGGTTCCATGCCTTCCGGTCACACCCTCTGTCTTCACCCCACATCAGCTGGCTGGTGCCTCCACCTGTCCACCTGCCTTAGAAAGGTCACCAATGACTTCCAGGTGGCCACATTTAATGGAGACATCTCTGTCCTTAGTTTGTCATTATTTATCAGCATTTAGCATTGTTTGACTGCACCTGCCTTCTCAAAACACTTTCTTCTTTCTAATTCTTTAGCAAAACTTCCTCCAGTTTCCCTTCCCTCTTTCTTCTCAGTCTCCCTTGTTGGGTCTGGCTGTGCTTCCAGCCTCCCTGTGGTTAGCTCCTCGGTGCTTTCTCTCCGCCTCCCCAGGACAGCTGGGACATCAAGTCACAGAGAGATGCTGGGCCCTTGTTGGGTCTGGCTGTGCTTCCAGCCTCCCTGTGGTTAGCTCCTCGGTGCTTTCTCTCTGCCTCCCCAGGACAGCTGGGACATCAAGTCACAGAGAGATGCTGGGTTCAGGCCCCTGGGACTTTTGGATTTCCTTCTCAGGAAGTCACCTGGAAAGAATGCCACTGGAGCAACCTCCTCAGGGACGACAGCCCTTTGGGGAGTCCCAGGCTCAGGTTGGAGGTTGGGATTACCTGGTACCCACTGATGTGCTGCATCAGGCGGCCACACATGGCATTGCTGGTCAGAACCGAGTGCAGGACTTTCACAGCCGCATACATAGTGTGGTCATCTGTTGCTAAGGATATGAGGCCCAAGAGGATGGCGGGCCCGCCAATGAAGTCCAGGCTGCTGGCAGCAGGGCTGGAGTGGAACACCCTTACCCCTGCGCAGGACAAAGGGGGCATTTCATTAGTATGTCACAGCTTCACTGCAATGGAAAATCCCCCAGTAGCATACAAGGGCACATGAGCAGCCAGTGCCACTTCCCCTCACAGTCAGAGGGGCCTGTGCACCTAAGACAGGCTGGGAGGAAAAGCAGGAGGCTCTGAAAGTCTTAGGTGGCTGCACTGAGTCCTTTCTGGGTCACAAAAAGGCTGAACCTGCCCAGAGCATTTCAGATTGCCGCCGTCTGTCTTGAGTCCAGAGTGCTGGATAAGCCAGACCCCCTCTGAGCCTCAGTTTCCTGGTTGCTCTGACAATCTCTGGCTCTTGCCTGCCCTCAAGGTCGTGATGGGCTGGGACCTTCTACCGACTTGCTACCTAGCTGTTACCCTTGCATGGCGACCAGCCGTTTTCACTCAGACAACCACAACATTGCCTCTGCGTAGGGCCCCCATGCCCACTAGGCAGGCTCCTGTGGTGCATAGACGCCAGCCTAGTTAGGAGCTGAGTCCTCTCCCGATAGTTGGATGCAGCAGGTGAACTAATCGCTATGCTCTCTGGGAGGCTGACTCTCTGGTGCGGTTTACTCCCAGCTCTGGCCCTCACCATCCCAGCTCCCCAGCATGCTCCCTCCTGCCTGTCGCTGCGGAACCCTAGGGTGCACAAGCACCCACAGCAAAGCCCTTCTTCCTAAAGAGCAGTAAAGGTGGTGCCTGATGTACCTAATTGGCCCACAGCAACAGCTCCAATGGTCCGAAGAGAACCGGAGAGGTGGCCAGCACAGTTTCTCAGCAGGAACACAGGCATGGCATTGTCACGGGAGGAAATGTTCATCTAGAGAAATCAGCAACAGTTAGTCCTAAGAAACTCCTGGAAAAGAAGAGCCATTGCTCATGAACTCTTGGAGGCAGGCGCCCCAAGGCATTGACCAGTGCTGGTATTCCACAAGCAATGATCATTGAATGAATCATAACTGAACCAATGTCAGGGGACTGAAGCCGAAATTCAGGTTCACATGTCCTGCCTCCTGGGCTGGGCTTAACTGTAAGTGAGCAGCTTCAGTGATACAATCTGTGCCAGCAGTGACCCCAGGCTCACAGTGAGGAGCCAGGTGGAACAACACTACTCAGGGGACAGCGGTCACCTTCTCTGTCTAGGCTTGTCCTGTACTGGCTTCAGAGGGGCAGGAAGACAGGAATCCTGGCCTCCTCCATTAGAAAGTGCATTGCTGGTAAGGACAGCATTGCTGCTCAGTGGGACCATGGGGGTTCCTGACCCCCTGTATCCTAGAGGGGCTCCATGAGAGTACAGAGAGTATAAAGAAATCAGCCAAAATTCATCAGCACTAAGCAAAAGAAATCATTATGCAGGAATTAGGAAGTAGTAAATCTAAATCACGTAAAAACATGTCCACTTGTTGTTTTGCAGGTTTACTATTCTTAAAAAAAAAAATCACTGCAGAAGAACATTTCGCAGTGTTGGTGGGTCAGGAGTGCCCAGACAGAGGGAAGCTCAATAGAACTTTCAGTGTCACAAAGGTGTTGAACACATCCCACCTGTTCTTGCTCTGTCATGAACAGTGCCACTTTCTTCTCTGGGCATCTACAAATAAAAGGTTTAGTCTCAGGGAATGCTAATGGGTGGGGAAGCATAAGATATTTTGACAAATGAAGTGGACAGCATGTGTGCGTGTGTGTCCACCTACACGTGCAAACATGAATCAGTGTGTATTTAGGCATCAAAAGCTGAAGCAAGCCACAACATTAAGACTGCAGCAGGGAACAGCAAGGGGAGTTAGAAGCCGCACCTCCTTGGCAATCAGGCGGCTGTCCACCTCACTGTAAGCTCTCCTGAGGTCTGCTAGCCTGGTGACAGAGGAACTGGCTACGTGAAGCCCAAAGGAAATCTTTTCCTCTGCAACGAGGGGTGTCGCTTCACTGTCTGGGTCTTCTCCTGTAACAACATATCTTTAATTATTTCTAGTCTCAGTTTGCAGGAAAGGAAATTAATCTGCAGATGAGTAAACATATACTACCACACAGCCAACTAATCATCGAGAGGATGTTTGTATGTTGTTAGGTTGCATGTTTTTGCATGTTCTATGTTTATATGTCACATGTTTAGTCCTCACCTGTGCTTCTCTGATGCTTATAGAAAACTGTGGAGAAATCTCCCAAGATTGACCCTACTATAAAATAGACGCATTCAAGGTGTGAAATTACCAGAGCTTGAAACATCTATCAAGTATATAACCTCGCTCCCCACAACCAAGATCTCACCTGTGCTTCTCTGATGCTTATAGAAAACTGTGGAGAAATCTCCCAAGATTGACCCTATTATAAAATAGACGCATTCAAGGTGTGAAATTACCAGAGCTTGAAACATCTATCAAGTATATAACCTCGCTCCCCACAACCAAGACGGTAAACGACAGGAGAGCTGAGATATAAAAATGGAAATAGGCCAGGCAGAGAAGTCTGAGATTTTCAATGAGCTACACAGCCATGGTGAACATCCCACGTGGAATTAGCATGCTGGTCCCCAAGTCAACAAGGGCCAGTGTGCTACTAAAGAAGCGTGGCATGAAGACAGAATGAAAACTTGGCCCCAGACCTGACCTTGTCCCATGGCCCCAGCCAGTGCCATTGCCATAGGAAATGAAGCTCAGAGAAGACACAGGCCTGGAGGCAGAAACACTCAGCTACAGTCAGTCGCCCTTCACCATCTGCAAGGCCTCATACATAGGTTCATTTGTCATTCTTCCCAGATGGGAGCTGACCCTCTTGACTTCACAGAGCACAGAGAGCAATGCACCTTGCTTGAGCAGCCAACAATCAATACTGAAAATGTGGATGTTTTGTCTGCCTGTTTAATAATTGAAGACAACACTACACTTTAGTTAAAAAGCTTCTTCATTAAAAGGAGTGTAACTTATTTATCTCATTCTCTTCTCTCTTTCTTTGCTGATGATATTACTCGCTCATCCTCCTCCATTAGGTGCTTCAGGGCTGAAATCTAAAGGATATTGTCATTTCCTTTTCTGTAACACTTTCTGTTGGGTTGTAAATATATAATAATACAATTACAGAGGTCTTCTCTAATGACTGACCTGTGCCGAGTTTATTCTTTATAAATACGCTATAAATAACTGGATGTCCATTTAAAAACTACTATCAGCAAGAACATTATAAATCAAAACACTCTATACCTTGAGCATGCACAGCTTGGAAGTTGCCACAGTATCTTGGGCCAAGTTTGTTAATAACTTCCAGAGTTTCCACTGAAATGGCTTCTTCAAAGAGGTATGTGGGGCCAAGACGCCAGATTAACGATGACTTTCGTTTCCAGACTCGAGGGGTAGCAATATATCCGTAAACATCCACAAATGAAGATGGATCCATTGAAAGGAAAGGTCCTGGTAGGGCCTGAATGTACAGCATCTGTTAAAACAAAACATACGGGAAGAGTGAGTGCTGCTTAACCTCAGAATTAAATAAACACAAAGTGATATAACATGGTTTGCCTTATTCTCATCTCAAAATAAAATTTTATCTAAAAAATCAAAAATATAACTCAACTGTGAGAAGTATGAAGCAAAACAACTTATAAAGTGCTGGTGAAAGTAAACTGACACTTTGCGTTTGGAAATATGGGAGAAAATCTACAAGATCCAGGGCTAGGTAGAAAGTTCTCAGCCTTGATACCAAAAGCACGAGCCATAAAAGGAATAATTTATGAATTATACTACACCAAAAATAAAAACTTTTGCCCATGTGAAAGACGCTGAAAAGATAAGCTACAGACTAGGAGAAATTATTTGCAAGTCACGTATCCAACAAAGGACTAGTAACTAGAATGTACTTTAAAAGCAAGCAAATAAACAAACAAAAAACCTTGAAACAACAGTTAAAAAAACAAACAATGCAACTAGAAAATGGGCAAAAGACATGAATGGACATCACTGAAGCGGATATACAGATGGCAAATAAGCATATGAGAAGATGTTCAATCTCATTAGCCCTCTAGGAAATACAAATTAAAAACAGTGAGATACCACTACACAACTGTCAGAACAGCTAGTATAAAAAAAGTGACAACACTAAATGCAAAGAAATGGAATCACTCATTCACTGCTGGTGGAAATGTCAAACAGTACAGTCATTCTGGAAAATAGTTTAGCAGTTTCTTGTAAAACCAAGCATGCAATTACCACAAGATCTAGCAATTGGACTCTTAGGAATTTATCCCAGAAAAAATGAAGACTTCAATTTACACAAAAAACCTGTGCACAAATGTTCATAACAGCTTTATTTGTGATAGCCAAAAACTGGAAACATCCCAGTTGTCCTGCAGTGGGTAAATGGTGAAACAAACCATGATACATCCATACTGTGGAATACTACTCAGCAATAAAAAAGAATGAACTCTTCACACATGCAACAACTTGAACAAATTTTCAATTATGCTGAGTTAAAAAGCCCATCCTAAAAGATCAATTACTGTATGATTCTGTATATAACATCCTTGAAATGCCAAAATTTTAGATTAGTAGTTGCAGGGTTTGGGACAGGGATGGGGGAAAGGGATCACAGGTGGGAGGTAAGGTTAGTTATAAAAGAGCAAAACACAATATTCTTGTGGTGATGGGACTTTTCCTATCTTGACTGATGGTGGATAAATGAACCTACACATACAATAATAAAGTATAGAACTAAATATACACAAGTGCGTGTGCGCACACACACACACACACAACTGTAAGGAACACTAGGGAACTCTGAACAAATCAGCAGATAGTATCAATGTTTATATCTGGATTGTGATATTGTTGTATAGTTTTACAAGATGTTACCATTGAGGGAAACTGGGTAAATGGTGCATAAGATTTCTATTCTTTCTTACAACTAAATTTTAATCTACAATTATCTTTAAAATTTCAATAAAATAAAAGGAAAACAGTCAATGGATTATCACAAATTTAAAAAGAGTAATAATTTCAAAGCCCATATGGATAAAAAAAATTTAATAATGTGATGTTAAGTAAACTAAGCGATATACAAAATTTTCTTCACAGTGAGGCCACTATTTTTTTTAAAAAAGGGAAAAAACTGAAAAAAACTGCAAAGCATGGTAAGACAGAAGTATTGGTAATATATCTTTTCTCTATTTTCCAGTCTTTTCAAAATGTGTTTATGTTATCTTTATAATGACTATAAAGTCACTATATATTCAAATACATTTATATATATTTTATGAGAGTTTATATAATTTCAGAAATATTCTGTTTTTGCTCTACCAATTAAATGAGATTTTTCAAATAAAAACAAAGCAATTGTTTAGCCCCAGCCCTGCCAAGAGCCTGGTCTGCTGTGCTATCCGCCCCCGCCCTTCCTCCCGGGCACAGACTCCTCCTCTCTTCCCCACATGGAAGCTCTGTCCCACCCCTCCAACCACCTTGCCCCTTCCTCTCAAATCCCCAGTGTATCTCACTGTACCATTCAGGTTGACTTATAAACATCTGATGTCTCCAATTGTCCTCAAATCATTTTCTTCAATTCAGGCTTTAAAAAATACTTCCCACCTTCCCAAATTTACCTTACCTTGCCTTGGAAACAACAACAAAGGCTCAATATTTTGGAAAGAGTTGTGACACTGGGTTGTCTCCAAGCTAAGCTGAAGCTCTCCCATCTTAATCTTGCCCAACAGATGTTTGCATCAAAACACAGGCCTTTATGTTTATGCCAGTTAAATTTCACTTGCAGGTCCTGACCCAACTAGTTGAGATCATGCTGGGAAGTGAGCTCTGTCAGCCTTGGCCTTGGGTATTCTGGTATTCCACACCACGCCCACCCTCCCTGCCGATTGCCTGGGTGTAGCTGGCCCTGTGGGGTCAGATGTTCACCCAAGCACCAATTCATCCAACCATGCTATTGGCCAGTCCACGTTCCTCCTGTGATTGTAAATTCAGTTCAGTTCATCAAGTGTTATTGCACGCTCACTGTGCATCAGCCCCTGCACTAGGTTCAAGAAAGGTACAAACACCAACAAGACACCTCAAGGTACACGAACTATTGCACAAAATATAAATGTGTTCTGCTAAAGACGACAAAAACAAGCTGACTTGGTAATCATGCCTGAACAGATAAAAACAAAGACAGAGCAGCCAGAAAAATGACAATGCATCCCATCCTGGCTAATATGAACGATTACTGTGTCTTCTCCAGTGGTGGGTCTGGTCCTGCTCTGTGCCTCAATGGCCTGGATAAAAGTTATTAAGATACATAGTCACCAGATTGACCTTCTTTCCGATAGCACCCAACTCGAAGAGATCTTTCTTTATTACTTTGAACCCTCCCCCAAATCACCTAAAGTAAGCCCAAATTCTGACTCCTTATAAACCCAAGAATAAGGGCTTTCTTGCTACAAAAAGCTTAATAACTCTAACTTCAGTTTTGTGTTATATGTACATGCCTGGAGATCTTTGGCTGGTAGGCATTATCCACTTCTAGTGCGTTAAACACTACCTAACACATAGTAGGTGCTCAATAAATATTTAATGAGGAAAGGAAAGAAGAAAGGGAGGGAGGGAGTCACGCCGGGAGAGAGGGAGAAAGGATTGACTAGTACCGCTAATGACTAGAAAAAAGATTAACTTTATGTTTTGGAAGACCTGTTTTTCTTACGCTCCTGCCAAAAACTTTGTTTACCACTGCCTTTTTTGATAAGAGAATGTGTCAGAAGATAGTGCCAAATTCATCTTTAGGTGTTACATAGAATTTAGGTTGTTCTAACCTAATGGTCTCAACCTGGAACAATTTTGCTCCCGGGGGACATTTGGCAATTCTGGAGACATTTTTGGAGGTCACAGTGGGGCAAGGGGGAATGTTGCAGCATCTAGGAGCCCAGGGATGTTGCTAAACACCCTAATATGCACAGAATAGGTCCCACAACAAAGAGCTATTAGGCCCCAAAGGTCAATGTTGCCCATATTGAGAAACCCTGTAGATCTAAGGTTCTCCATTGTAGCTGCATATAGAATCACCAGGCAAATCTTGAAAATATTACTGAATTATAAAATTACCTGACACACAAAGATTCTGATGTAACTGATCTGGGGTGCAGCCTGTTTGAGAGAATTTTAGAAAGCCTTTCCAGGTGATTCTAGAATGCAGCCCAGGCCAAGACGCTGTCTCTAAAACCTGGGTGGAAATCCAGCTGTACTGTACCTGCCCCCTGTGGTCTCCCAGGCCCTCCCCTCTCTGGCTTCCTTGGAGACCTGTGACAGTGGCTGCTGGAGCATGCCTGCCAGCTCCTCCTCTCCCTTATGCCCCAGGCAGCTCTGAATACAGCGAAGAGAAGCTCCTTCCAGCTCCGTGTTCACGTTCTGTTACCTTCCCACTTGTTCTTGCTCTAGATCAGGCAAGACATGTTGGTGTCTTTGAAAGGTCTGGTGCCTTGTTCCTAAGCATGGTGCACAGATCAGCCATGCTGGCTTCACCTGGGGGCTTCTTGGAAAAATTGAGCCTTTGGCCCTACGCAAACTTCCCTGGAAAACTTACACCTTAAAATGTGAGAAGCTTTGCTTTGTTCATTCTGGAGATTTACACCTTTTTATGACTATTCTTGTAGGTCTGGACTCATGTCCTGCCTTCTGCCCTAGTTGAGTGACCTGCAGTCCATTTTCTAAAAATGCCCTTTATATGCCTGAGCTCAGCCAAGTACCCTAGACAGCAAAGGGGATTTCATTAGATAACAACCCACTGACAAAAGAAAACACAGAAGTGAGCCGAGGCCACCACGGGGTGGCATGGTCGGGAGACATGGTCATGGGTCAAATGCAACTCAGAGGAACCACCTCACCTTGGCTGAGCCAATGATCTGTCCATCCAGATAGGTGGAGACGGTGCAATTCCTTTTCATTTCCTTGGTGACAACCACAGCCAAGTGATGCCACTGACCACAAGCTAGCAGGTGGCCACACCTGACCTGAAGCTGGCGTCCTGCAGAAGGCTCAGAGTCATCCTCAGGTTCCATGATATCTGGAAGAGAGCAGATGCTGAACCTCACAGGAGTTATCATGCAGCAGCGACCCAGAACTGGGGCTTAGAGGGAGGTCCCAGGTTGACCACCCTGGGCCCTATACCTGTGGAGACCTTCCTCTCATAAAAAATGACAGCAGCAGCTACCATTCCTTGAGCTCTTGCTCTGTGCCAGACACCATCTTAAGCACTTTTACAAATGCCAACTCATTTAAATTTCACAACAACCCCGTGGTACCTATGGTACCGTCCTGAGGCACAGAGAGGTTTTATAACTTGCCCAAGGTCGTGCAGCCAGGAGGCAGGTGGTGGCATAATTCCTATGGTACCGTCCTGAGGCACAGAGAGGTTTTATAACTTGCCCAAGGTCGTGCAGCCAGGATTCAAAGCAGGAGTCAGGCTCCAGGGTCTACCCCAAACTAGACTACCCCCACAGTCACAGTGATGCCATTTGCAGGCCACGTGCTGATGGGGGCAGAGACAGTCAGGCTGCATGCTAAGGATGTCAGCCATCTTCTGGGACTTCCAGGAGCTTCACTAGGAAGCGGTGACACTCTCAGTACACACAAGAGGAACAGGTGGCCAGGACAGGCTGGGCTAGCCCGTCTCAGGCAGGTGACCTTGGAGAACAAGGCTGAGCTCTGAAGGACAGAACCAGGCCACCAGCACTACTGAAGGAGGGTCGGGCTCTTGAGTACCAGGGCCACCAGC